TGTTTGTTAAGTCAATAAACCTTTCTTACCTTTTTACCCCTGTGACTGCCGGGTTTCGAATAGCTGCTCTCGGGCAGCTTTCACTGTGGTGGTAGACGTCAAACGCCTTACGGTCTCATTGTTGCCTGAGTAGATGTCTTCCTCCCAAGTCTCCAACCCTGTACTCACCTGTCATGACTTGTTGTTCCTCAGTGTGCAGGGTTGTTTGTTGAGTGCGCTCAGTGGCCCGTAGTTTGCCCGGTGGTCACTCATGGGGCTCCACCACCCCTACACCCCAGCCTCATGTCTCCTTTGGTGTTGTGTTCCTCTGTTGGCCTTTTCTCCCCCTAAGGGTAACACCTTCTGACTTAGTGTTCGGGCATCCGTAGCCTATCGCCACGCTCACCCATAAGGGCCTGCCCCTAGGCCCCCTTCTCCTTCGCCCCTCCTTCGGGTAACATACCAAAAAAAAAGGAACAGTAAACCCTCTGAGACTTTCCTACAGCCTCACTCCTTGGGGAACCGGCACTATTCCCCTGTGTCCCTTCATAACTAAATACTCAACAACAAAAATGCGGGGCAACCCAACACTCCCTGTTCCCTTTCTATCATTCTCTGGGCTCTAACTGTGTGGGTTACTTTCTTCCTGACCCGTCGCCTTTGGTATTCCCTCTCATCAGCTCATCAATCCAGTTGGGGTCCGGCAGCGATACCCACCCCGACTGTAAACCCCCTCCGGCTTGCCTGGGGTCTTCTTCCCCCTGACATGGCTTCCTCCACACCCTGTCATCCCTGCATTCCCACCTGGAGCCAGCTCTGTCTCCGGGTGCCACTCCAGTGATGCTTCCGGCCGGCGTGCGTGTTGCTCCTTTGCTGTCCTGTGAGAGCTCCCGCAGGGGTGTTCCGCCCAGTCCTATCAGCGTCTCTCCCTGCTTGCCCGGCTCTACAGGTCCTGAGGGGAGAGTCCCTTCTGTTGCCGGCTTCGGCTGCAGCTCCTTCCCCGTGCCATCCACTCCCTCCACGGCATCGGCCGTCATTTTTATCCCTGCTGGCAGGCATCTGATGCTGACGTCACCGGCTAGCTGTAATTGAATAAAAAGGCAGCTGACGAGTTGCGTGGGCTCTTCCTTCCGCCCCTCGCATACCGTGCCCTGAGCTGCCGGTAAGTATCTCCCATTACTTTGTCTCCTGAGACATAACCCCCCCCGCCAGCTGCCTTGTGGTGGTTCCGTGGGTCGTGCGTCCCTGTTAACTGTGATCGTCTGTGAGATGTGATGCCTTGACCAACTGTCATCTCATCCCGCACCCTAGTCACATCTAGACAAGAAGTCAGCCGCTTTGTTGTCTTTCCCAGGGCGGTACACGATATGGAATTTGAAGGGTTGTAATGCCAACACCCACTGCATTATCCGCACATTATCGGTTTTGGTGGAGCTGAGCCATTTCAGGGGCGCATGGTCAGTGATGAGCATAAATTGCCTCCTGAGCAAGTAATAACGTAAGTGCTCCACTGCCCACTGGATAGTAAGGCATTCCCGTTCGACTGTCGCGTACCTAGTTTGGGCTGGCAGCAATTTCTGGCTCACGTAGGCCACAGGCCGGTCCAAGCCTGCGTCTCATTGGGTAAGTATCGCCCCAATAGTGGCATCAGAGGCATCTGTCTGTAATGTAAAAGGTTTATTAAAATCAGGGGTGTGTATAATCACATCCTCACATAGGGCCCTTTTTAAGGCCTGAAAGCTCTGGAACATCGCTCCCATCCACTTGACCCCCTTCCGGTTTGACCCCTTTAGGGCCTCTGATTGGGGTGCCGCTATGTTTGAAAACTGGCATGAATCTACGATAATAAGTTACCAGGCCCAAAAATGATCGTAGCTGCTTGAGTGTTTGCGGGGCCTGGAAAGAGTGAATGGCTTTGACCTTATCCTCCAACGGCCACATGGTCCCCTGCCCTACGAGGAACCCTAGGTACTTGGTGTACGTGTGTGCAATCACGCGCTTGTGGGTGGTCTCATTCAGACCTGCCCTCCTTAGCTCGGTCAATACACCTCTAAGGGCATGTAGATGCTGGCCCCATGACTGAGTAAATATGACAACGTTGTCAATATATGCCGTGGCGTATTCTGTGTATAGCACCAGAATGCACTCCATTAGCAGCTGGAAGGTGGCGGCAGCCCTGTGCAGTCTGAACGGCATCTTCACAAATTCATATAGACCCCAGGGGGTTCCAAAGGCCACCTTGGGGCGGTCACACGGCCGTACGGGAATCTGCCAATATCCCTTGGCCAGGTCTAACATGGTTATGAACCGGGCTGCCCTGATCCATTCCTCTAATTCCATTACCTGCGGCATGGGAAAGGCATCAAACATAGCTATTTCATTCAACCGGTGATAATCTACACAGAGCCTTAGGGTTCCATCTGTTTTTCGTACTGGTACCAGGGAACTTCGCCACAGGCTTCGAGATGGCTTGATGACACCTAGTGCCTGCATCTTCCCCACCTCCTGACGTGCCTCTTCTGTTGAATAATGGGGTATTGGCTGCCATCGATCATGCACTATTGCACCTGGAGGTGTATGTATGGAGTGGTACATGTCTCTTACCCATCCGGGATCCTCTGAAAAAACCTCCTTAAATTCTTCAAGGAGGTCCCACTTTTCCCTTTTCTGAGTTGTAGTTAGTTCGTTATTCACGTGAACATCTCTCAAGGATCCTGTGACCTCTGGTCCTGGGCTGAGTTCTTGCTGTCCAAGGCCCTCAACCGTCTCTTCCCTAAATGCCGCTCACCCTTCAGGCTGTTGCCATTCTCGTAACAGATTAACATGGTAAATCTGTTTCATTCGCTGATGGCCTGGTCGATAAACCTCATAGTCGACCGGGCCGACTCTTCATATAATTTCAAATGGCCCTTGCCACTGGGTTAATAGCTTGCTGTGCAAAATGGGTAATAGAACCAGTACCTTCTGCCCTGGTTGAAACTCCCACTCCTTGGAACACAGGTCATACCTTTCCTTTTGTCATTGTTGGGCCTGTTGCAGATTGCCTGCAGCCAGCTCTCTTGCACTGTGGACATGGCGTTGGAATGCCTGTTGATATCTTGACGGGCTGGAGATAACCGCAGGACCCTGTTCCCATTCTTCTCAGAGGATCTGCAACAAACCCCGTGGCTGGTGGTCTAACACAAGTTTGAAAGGGGAATACCCTAGAGATTCTGATGGGGCATCCCTAAGTACGAACAAAGCCAGCGGGAGCATCAAGTCCCAATGTCGTACCGGCTTAACACCCTTTTAAGGGTTCTGTTCAGTTGCTCCACTAACCTGTTGGTCTGGGGGTGATAGACCGACATCCGCAGCTGTTTGATCCACAGGGTCTGACACACCCCTTGTAGAACCTCGGACATAAAAGTTCGACCTTAGTCCATCAGGATCTCATGGGGAATCCCCATGTGTGCTATCCATTTCACCTATTCTTCCACAATCCAAGGTGCTATTACGGACCTCAATGGCACCGCGCTGGGATATCTCATTGCATAATTCACGAACACCAGGATATACTGGTATCTGCTACTGCTGTGAGGTAGCAGCCCAACAACGTCCATGGAGATCCATGAAAAGGGCAGGTCAATAACGGGCATTGGTCTCATCGGGGCTTGAGGTCTTCCCTAGCCTTTTGGCACGCTGGGCACCCTGCACATCGGGGGACCACGTCTTCCCCTGTTTTTAGCCAGAAAAACCATTGGGATATCTTGTCCGTGGTTCAATCCCTCCCCATATGGCCCCTAAGTGAATTGGTGTGCGCCAGTTGCCACACTGCCTTCCGGAAACAAGAAGGCACCACTAGTTGTACTCTGTCTTCCTTCTCTGCCTTGCCCGGTTGAACCCGATATAAGAGGTAGTGTCTTACCTTAAAATGGCTCCCAGGATCAGAGCCCAATGTCGGCTGATGAAACTCGTCTTTTGCCTGTGTTCATAGTTCTTGCAGTTCAGGATCTTCTTCCTGTGCTTTCCGGAACTGTTGTCTACTGGCGATGTCCTGCAGGTCTTCCATGGCCTCCCCATTTCCCTCAGTGGTTCCCTCTCCTTCCGCTGGGACACCGAGCCAGCCCTCTCACACCCTTAAGGCTCTGCGAGCGATCTCAATGTCCCACACCCAGTCCATTACATCGTACAGTGCTGCCCAATCTCTACCCAAAAGCATATTGCACACTAGATGGGGTGCAAGGCCCACCAACAGCTCCCCATGGTGCTCCATAACTCAGAGACTTGTCCACACTCGACGTATTTTCTGGGTTTCTCCATGAAGGCAGGACACCCTCACTGGCTCTGCTTGACAACCGTGGGCATCCTTCAAAAGGTCAGCCTTAACCAGCGACTGAGCACAACCAGAATCTAACACCACCCATACCGGGCAGCCTTTGATCCAGGCTCTTACTACAGGGCGTCCCCATAACGGGCTCTCACCTCCTGCCTCATAACTGCAGTCCACGGGCTCCTCTGGACGGGGCTCCTTGGGGGACTCAGCCCCTTCTCGTGGGGAACTTTATGGCCGCCTCCTCTCAGAGACGCGCCCCGTACACTTCTGCGCAAAATGTCCCATCCAGCCACAATGGTAGCATACCATATCCCCTCCCGGGGCCCTATAACTGGGCTTCCGTCGTTCCGCCTCTCTTGCCACCAGCACCGGTAACAGGGACTCACATTTCTCTTGTGGGTAATACAATTCCGCCACTGTGAAAGCCTCAGCCAATTTCAGTGCCTCATCGCAGGACTCCGGGGAGTGCTGACAGACCCAGTGCTGGGTCCTGTCTTCCAAGTCATTTATGAATTGTTCTGATCTTATCCATGAGGGTTGCCAGCATGCAAGTTGCCAGATTGATCCATTTTCCGAAGAGATCCCGGAGCCGCTGGAGCAACAACTGCGGTTAGCTGTCCTCCGCCCCCTTCTTAGCCTGGAAAAGTCGCCGGTAGTGTTCTGGGCTGATCTCCAGGCGATAGAGGATAGCAGCTTTGACCACCTTGTAATCTTGGGCTTCCTCTCAGGTCAAGGCCCTATAGGCTGCTTGGGCCTTGCCCATCACCAGGGCCCCCAAGTGGCTAGCCTCGTATCCTTTGTCGAGGCCCGTGCTAACAGCATGCCGCTCAAAGGCCTCGATGTATGCCTCTGGGTTGTCTTCAGATGTCATCTTGGGCATTTTAAAGGTCAACAGGCCGTGCCGCATCCAATCTTGCTGCTGCTCCAGTATATGTTGCTGGGACCCCACAATCTGCATCAGGGCCTTCAGGTTCTGTCCCAATAGATCCACTGGAGCCATCTCGGCGGGTTGCATGTCAGCCAGGTGGCCCTCCAAGGTTTTTCCGGCCAATGCACCACTTTGTGACTGCTGGGTTTTGAATAGCTGCTCTCAGGCAGCTTTCACTCTGGTGGTAGATGTCAAGCGCATTACGGACTTGCGTTGTCGCCCGAGTAGATGTCTTCCTCCCAAGTCTCCAACCCCGTACTTTCCTGCCATGACTTGTTGTTCCTCAGTGTGTGGGGTTGTTCGTCGAGTGCGCTTGATGCCCCGTAGTTCTCCTGGTGGTCATTCATGGGGCACCACCACCCCTACACTCCGGCCTCACGCCTCCTTCGGTGTTGCGTTGGTCTGTCGGCCTTTTCTCCCCCTACGGGGTAACACCTTACGACTTAGTGTTCGGGTGTCCATAGCCTATCACCATGCTCACCTGTATGGGCCTGCACCTAGGCTGCCTTCGCCTTCACCCCTCCTTCGGGGAACATACCAAAAAAAAAGGAATAGTAAACCCTCTGAGACTTTCCTACAGCTTTGCTCCTTGGGGAGCCCGCACCCTTCCCCTACATCTCTTCAGCCAGGGTAACTAAATACTCAACAAAAAAAATACGGGGCAACCCAACACTCCCTGTTCCCTACTTCCGGCCGGCATGCCTGTTGCTCCTTTGCTGTCCCATAAGGACTCCTGCCGGGGTACTCTGCCTGGGCCTGTCAGCATCTGTCCCTGCTTGCCTGGATCCACAGGTCCCGCGGGGAGAGTCCCTTCTGTTGCTGGTGTCAGCTGCAGCTCCTTCCCTGTGCCATCTGCCCTCTCCACGGCATTGGCCGCCATTTTGATCCCTGCCGGCTGGCGTCTAATGCTGATGTCACCAGCCAGCCATAATTGAATAAAAAGGTGGCTGATGAGCTGTGCAGGCTCTTCCTTCAGCCCCTCGCATACCATGCCCTGAGCTGCTGGTAAGTATCTCCTATTACTTCATCTCCTGGGACAACCCCTGACCACTCTCTCAATCCTGAACCCTCCGCTGGTGGCTGGGACATAAATTGGCATCACAAACAGGACTGAGAGACTCTGGTCTGGAAAGAAAGGTTGGAATGGAGAGAGTTGGATGGGCCCCATTGGTGGCTTTGCTTAAGGAAGTGACAGAGACGGAGAATCCTGGGTGGGATAAGGATAGGTTGAGGCCTGTCTGGAGTGACCTGGGAACTGTACCCAATCAATGGGCTAGGTTTGCCACTGCTGCCCAAGGTAAGCCCAAGAAGGGGCGCCTGTCATGGCTCCTGGCCACGTGCCTACACTTAGGGGACAAAGAGAATGCCCAGCTCCGGGAAAAGATCACTCAATGAGTAAGGAGTTGGAGGACATGAGGGATTCCAGCAGTGTGGTGTGTGGGGCTGTGTGAGCTGCCCAGAGTCGCTTGGAGACATTAGAAAGGGGGGAAGGAAAAATTATGATCATGCACGTGGCCACTTCCTTCCAGAAGAGGGCACGGTTAGCACAGGCTGTGGAGCCACCCTCGAGAAAGTGCGACAGTGTCTGTATGGAGAGGAACCAGGAACTGAGCTTTGGGAAGATCAAGGGGAGGGGACAGATGGAGGGGAGGAGATTGATGATGAGCCTAGTGCCAAACTCTCCGTGTACGTCCCCACCCAGAGCGAGGAAACTAGCCAGGCCTTACCCGTGGCGGTAATTTGCTCAGAGCCACAAGGAGGGAATCCCTGAACAGAGCTGTGTTCCTTTACCCACGCGGAGATTCGAGGTATACAGGAGCAGCATAAGTCGAAACTGGGAGAGCCAGTGATATACTGGCTAGTTCAAATGTATAGTGAAGGAGCCTCTGCAATTTCAGTAAGTTGAGCAGCAGCTGTTCAACTAGTCCTGCTCCCTGAGCTCCAGCTGAATCAGTTTGCAGGAGGTGATGAAAATGTTACCTTGTTTTCTGCTGCACTGCAAGCAACTGCGGCCAGTTACAGTAATATTGAAGAAGAGCTTAACCCTGCCCCTTAGGCATGGGCCAATTTAGAGGAGGCTGTCCGCTGCTTGTATCAGTTAGCACTAACTGAAATCATTTGTGCAACAGTTTGGACTCGCATGCCAGATACAGAAGTCATGACAGCACCACTGTGGATGAGTTTTGCTGGTGAGCACCAACAGAGTGCATCTCAGCCCTGTTGGCCTTGGAGCCAGAGGCAGTGAATCACCCAGTAAGAAATGCGATCTGGTGATTAGTGGAGCTTTTACCCATTTTGCAGAAGCCAGGGGTTGCCAAGCCAATGAAAACCACCAAGGCCATGGCGGTGGCCTCAGCAAAAGACAAACGCCCTGACCCCCCTGAATTGTTGGGAAAATCTGGGGAAGGCTGGCCCAAGACTCCACGAGCAAGAATGTGGAAAGACTTATTAGCTGCCAGTTTCAATAAGGTCCAAATTGATGGACAGCCCACCAATGGCCTGCGAGGTCTGTGGGCTAAACACTGTAGCGAAGGGGCAAGCCCAAAAGCGGAGCCTTCTGAGCCACTGGCAGTGCCACTGGAGGGATTCTCTAAGGGCGAAGCTGTTGACATTTTCCCAGGCACATATGAGGCTGCCAGCCTTTGCCCCACCCATATCACTTGGCCTAGGGAGTCCGGCCAGCCCGACCCCCAAAGAAAGGGGCCACAATGGGGGCAGTAGTGGGCTAGGGATCAGTATCTAAAGTTAATATTAGCCCCTTAATTTGGATACCTGTACAGATTCAATTAGGTAAAAGTGAGAAGTCAATTGATATGCTATTAGACACGGGTGCCCAGATTTGCATTTTAGATTCCGTGGATTGGAAGGGGAGAAAGGAACCCCTTATCAAGTAACTGGGGTCGGAGGCACTAGACGACCAGGACATCTGGTCCCAGTGATCTTCACATTACCTAATGGCTCTAAGGTAACAGCAGCAGCAGTAATACTTAAAGGGGGACCAAGTTTACTGGGACTTAATGTACTAAGAGGACAACAGTTTTTCCTTGAGCAAGAGAATTGGCAGTTTGGATGCACAGTGCCTCACCAGGAACCAGAACAAATGGCTATAATGGCTCTAACTCAATGTAGCATGATCCCATTAACTCTGCCTCCCATGAAGGAATTACACCGGCCCCAGTATCGAGCTCTCCCCAAGGCCACCCAAACTATCCAGTGTATTATCAGCCAGCAGTTGGAGGACAGGACTATTATCCGAACCCACTCTCCATATAACAGTCCAGTGTGGCCAGTGCATAAACCAAATAGAGGGTGGTGGCTGACTATTGACTTTCAAGCTTTGAATGCTAATACTGACCCCTTGACGGCTGCCATCCTGTCACTACCAGCCTTAACAGAAAGCATCCAGTGTTATGGGCCTGTGTAGATGGGATCCATTGATATCAAGAACATATTTTTTGCTATTCCCATCCAGGAGAGTCACTGGCCAGTATTTGCTTTCACGTGGATAGGGCAGCAGTATACTTACATTGTGTTGCCCCAAAGGTGGATACACAGCTCCACCCTGGCTCACGGGGTTCTAGCTACCGTAGTTCATGAGGGCCAAGAAAAGTACCCTGACGTACACACGTGGCAGTATATAGATGATGTCATGGTGGGCAGTCAAGACAAAGAGGCTGCCACCAAGGCCTTTGAATCATTAAAAGAGAAAGTGCATACCTTCGGATTCACGCTGTCTGATCAGAAAGTCCAAGAAGTAGGGCCCCAGTGTGAATTTCTAGGAATAGAATGGCAGAATGGGGGGCCCACAATACCAACTGA